AGTGTGTGTGTGTGTGTGTGTGTGTGTTCCCCCTCTCCTGGGGAAATGTTACTTTCTGGGCTTAGAACGTTTGAACAGCTTGCCAGTGACTACGCTACTCACCAATGGCAGCCTTCCCCCAGATCTCCACCACCAGCTCCTGACTGCTGGTGTTGGCGTCCTTGCTGTCTAGCGGGCTCCGTTTGGCTACCGGTCTCTCCACGGACCACAGGGGCGGCGGGGCGTGGTGTAGCCGAGGGCCTTGCTCGGATTCGAACTCCTCCCCCCACGGGTTCCACTCCGGGTCGTCCGCCATTTCTGTGAATGAAAACAGAAAATGATCAGATTTAAGAAAAAAAAAGTAAAATGTTTGTAGGCGTCATAAACAAAAGAACAACAACAACAACAACAACAATAACCGCATCAACAGCAACAACAACAACAACAACCGCATCAACCGCATCAACCGCATCAACAGCAAAGGCAATGATAGCAATAGAATCTACTGCAACAGTAGCAAAACCAACAATAACATTTGAAATAGAGGTGTTTCTACGTAGTTGAACCTGTGCAACACGACCATTCATCGCCGAAGAGAAAATTATCATCTTAGACAGGTGGTCCTTTTTGATAATGTCATTATAATATGACAATATAGGCTGACCCGATGACAGTCAAGAGGAAAAGCAAGAAAAACAGAAACAACATAACGATGGTATGGCCGACTGGTGGCGCCACATATCCGCTTTTGGACATGATCAACAGAGGAGAGACAAACACGCGCTCAAGCGATTAATTCAGCCGGTGAAATTAAGTTTGCTCAGACTAGAGCACGGTCAATCCTACAGCGAAAGTCATAACCGTCAGTCAGCGAAAGGAAGACAATAGAGAAAAATAGGTATTGGTGAGTAGTATTCTACGAGAAAAAACAAAATAAAAGTCACATTGCGTAAGGAAAACATTCAGTAACAGCTCAGCACACCACATGCAATTGGAAGAAAGAGCTGGTAACAGCAGATGGTCCAAAGACTCATATAAACAATGATTTTGAAACAGTGATAGCATGTAGAATAGACACACATAAATACTTATTGCTATGATTATAAAAGAGCAATAGCATTAAAATAGACAAATACACACTATGATTATGAAACAGTGACAGCATGTAGAAAACGAACACTAAAGCAAACAACCTACAAAAAAAACAAGAAAGCATGGGGCGAGAAAGACAAGGGGAAGTTGTAACGTTTGTTATTGTCGTTGAATTATAGCGGTCATATATGTAGGTAACTGTTAAGGGAGAGCATTTATTCAGCCTCACCGAAAACATTCCAGAAAGGAAGGTACAAATAAATTGGACCCCATCCCTTCTCAGATTATAACCCCGACGTTCCCGTTGGGGCTCCCATTTGCAAACCAATGTGTTGCAGATGGCGGCTTGCACAAGAATATAAAAATCAAAGTGGGAATAAAATTCGTACATTCACAAGTTGGGTTACTTTGTTAACGTGTACGGGGTAGTGGACAGTTTCAAATCGCAAACCACCACCGTGCGTTTTGTCGTCGTATGCAGAAGACATGATTTTGATTCCCGCGGGGTGAGAACTTTTTATCAAGTATCTCGACTTTTCCCGCTGGAACGTTGTAACAAAAGCGACCAACTGTGACCACGGGGGCGTAAAATAATCTACGTACATTTAAGAGAAAAAAACCCCGCAGACCTACACGGTGAACCAAAAGGCGTGGGTGCATAATAACCAGAAGGTCGTAAAAACTCCACGAAATGAAGCATGGCCATCATCCCACCCCTGCCAGGAACCCCCCGACAGAGGGCAAGAATCGTGATTATGATCGATCATCGGATTAGGGCACCAAGGTTCACTGAGCTTCGGGTACGAGGAAGGCACTATTCGATATTGGCCATTATCGAATACTCGATCAGACAGCCAAGAAACCGGCAGAAAGATAGACAATGATAATAATCTTTTCGATGGTGAAAGAGCAGAAGGAAATGTTTCTGTTGCTATATTTTACAGTATTTTTATTGGGAGAAGAGCGACAGATGTAAAAGAGGGGGGTGTGTGC